ACCGATATAACACGTCAAGAGCTTGGTGCCAGACATGTGACCCACAGAAAACAACACAAGGATGGACAAGCGGAAATGAGAATGTTGATAATTATATTAAAGAATTTCAACTTAAAGTTACAGAATATGAAGATGTAATTGAATGGATTCCTTTTAATAGGTTAGATAATATTCAAAGCATTGGTGATAAACTTATAGCAACATGGTTAGATAGAATACGATATGTGAATAAAGCTGTTAATGCATATGTACATAAACAGTCACGTATGCAATAGTATGGGGTGGAGCTTAAAGCATTAAATAAATCACTAAATTTAATAGATATGTTAAAAGAAGTAAGTTAAGAATATTTAAATTATTGTTATATTGTACTAATATATATTGCTTTATTTTAATTCATATTTATATATTAAATTAGTTTATAGATTATGCACAGTTAAATAAGAATAGTAAAATTAAAGTATATGGTCTAACTCATGACACAACCACAAATGAATATATGTTAGTATTTGTTAATGAATTTGATCCTAAAAGAGAATTTCAAAATGGAAAATGTGCAAATTGCAACCGAAATAACACATCGCCAGCTTGGTGCCAGACATGTGACCCTCAGAAAACAACACAAGGATGGACAAGTGGAAATAAGGTTATTGACAATTGTATTAAAGAATTTCAACTTAAAGCTATAAATTATGAAGACATAATCGAATGGATTCCTTTTAATAGATTATATAACATTCAAAAGGTTGGTGAAGGAGGGTTTGGCTCAGTGTTTTCAGCAATGTGGTTAGATGGTAAAAGAATAGTTTCAGGTGAAAAGGAGAAATATACTCAATCACGTACATCGTTATGTATAGTTGCACTTAAGACATTACCTGGCTCACAAAAGAATTTTTTAAAAGAAGTAAGTTAAAATAATTTATTAAAATAATTTATTTATGACTTAATATAAATAAATTATTAACATCATAAATTTATTTATTTGACAAGTTTAAAAGTTATGTAGAATGTAGATTGGCGGGTAATGATCTTGAGGTGTATGGACTAACTCAAAACACAATTAATAATGAATATTTAATAGTATTTCAATATGCAAACAAAGGAAGTCTTCATAAATTTTTATTATCTAGTTTTAACGTGCTTGATTGGAAAAGTAAATTAAAGCAACTTGTTGAAATATCAAGAAACTTATCGATAGTTCACAAAGCCAAATATGTTCATGGAGATCTTCATAGCGGTAATATATTAGAACATCAATATCTTAACGGAAATCTAAGATCTTATATTGCTGATCTAGGATTATCTAGAAAAAATGATGAATCTGATTTAGATGGCATTTATGGCGTTTTACCTTATGTTGCCCCTGAAGTATTAAATGAACGATCATATACAATTGCAGCAGATATTTATAGTTTTGGTATTATTATGACTGAAATGTCTATAGGAAGACCACCTCATTATGATATTGAGTATGATGAAGCGTTGGCCATTCAAATATGTAACGGATTACGTCCCGAATTTGCTGAAGGCACTCCCGAATGCTATATTCAATTAGCAAATCAATGTATGGATGCTAATCCTTCTAATAGACCAACTGCGTCTAATATCTATAATGAACTATTAAAATGGTGCAGTATAGTAAGTGATGGCGTTACAAAAGATAACAATGAATTAGCAATATTAAAGGCATTCCAGTCTGCTGATGTTATTATTCCAAAATTATCAACCATATTGCCAATTTGTTCTGAAGATAAACTAACAAGTAAACTACTTAGTTTTAAAAACCTTTCTGCGCCAATTGGTAGATAATGACACTTATCATATTTGATTTTTAATTAATCAATAAAGGTTTAATGACTTTTTAATTTTTTTAGGTTCTAAAAAATGTGATTTTTCAATTCCTGAATAATGATATTTCATGTAATTATTCAATAATTTAATTTATTAACATAAAAAATGGGTATTAATCTATAAATTCTTTCATTTCTATAGCCAATGATGGAATTTTTTGAATAAATATATTTCGGATATATCACTCTGGTTTGGTCGTCCAATTTCTAATAAGACTGGTATTACGCAACAAAGTTTCATAATTAAACTTTCGCTTGTGTAACATATATAATTTGGAGTGTAACCTTATAATAGTCTATGCGAAGTTTAAAGCATACTTTAATTAGACTTTATATCGTTATAAGACATAACTGTAAATAGTAGATAGCTTATTTTAGAGTCTATTTGTGGATATATATAGAACGTTTGTATTTTAGTTCTTTAGTTAGTTAATAATTTAGTCATTTCTTTAGATTTAGAGAAGGTCTCTTTGGGAAAGGGTTTGGTTTTAGTAAGTTTGGAACTTGCTAGGTTGGTTAGTTGAATAGGAATATTGGTTACTTTAGTGTCTGGGACACAATAAAGGATATTGGTTTAGTATTTTATGGTGCCTTGTGTGTGATAATATACAATTGGTTTCTCATATTAATGTTTACGACCTAAGCTAAATTGGCTCAGCCGATGTAAAGTCTCTTCCACTGGTCGTAACACTGGTCCATTGTTGTTTTTTTTCGTCCGATTTCAGTTTCTAAGTGGTTTCTAAAATTGGGTTCTAATAATCCAACGATTATGCATTTTTTTTAAAAAAATTCAATTTACTACTTATAAAGACCAATCTGAAATGGTCTCAATTCCGAATAATCATTTAACTAGTTTAAATATAGTAAGATGTGTCGGCTTGATTAATTTATTTATTAAATATTAACATATAAAAAAAATTGTAATTGATCTAAATGTAATATAATCGATCCATTTTACGTTAAATAAAGCAAAATGAATAAAATTTCGAAAAAATATTAAGTAATATTCCAGTGATACATAAAGATCCGTGTCATTTCACCGACAATCAATTTACCGACAATTTTTCATTTCACCAACAAACATCAACTCTAATTCTAAACTTGACCCTAACGAAAATGACCGGAATTATTTTGACGATGAAATGACTGTCGGTGAAATAAACTATTGCAGTATTGGTGAATTATTTGTCGGTGAACTAAGTTGTCGGTGAAATGAAATGAGCGGAACTCGGTTGTATGAATTTATCGAAAATTCGTGAACTTTTTTGAACTCCTATGACTTTCACCCCTGATAATTCCACCTCTCCTTTTCAATGGAGATTACCATCTATATACAATATGATATCTTTTATCATAATCTAAACAGCCTAACAAAAACCAAATTAAATTTGTTTTAAAAGAAAGGTGATGATACTTCATGTTTTGGCGAAGATCTAATGAAATGCGTTTTTGACTCCATTCAATATGTGATTTATCACATATTATAATCAAAACATGATGATTAACTAATCAAAATTTTGACTGTGATATTTGCGTGATGTGAATAAAAAATTCATTATCGATATACATTATCATAGTAACATCTACTTTTTACAAACCGTATTACAATCTTTAGTCTAAATTATTAAATAAAACTATCACATTATATATTTGACTAAACCAACATTTACATTTACATCTATTCCGCAATTAACTTAAACAACGTAAGATGTATGTATTACAATCATCATTATTAAATTAATTTGTTTAACAATATAGCAATATTATAAAATTCTTCAAAGCTTACCTAAAATATTTTGGCATCTAAATAATTTCGGTATCTGCGTATCTAGCAAACTGGTATTTCAGCTTTAACATAATGGGTATTAATATTATTATGAAGTAAAGTTTATATTTATTAGCAATTGTATTATGTTCTTAAAAAAGTATCTTAAAGTGCATAAATAAGTTACCTGGCAACAGGTTCAACAATAAAAAGCTACGAAACCTTTTTATATTGTGTATTTTTACGCGATTTACCTATTGACAATCTCGCTAGTAAAAGTTCCAAAGTTTTTAGGATTAGAGAAGCTAAAGCCTTGCTGAACATAAACGTGAAATATCAAACTACATTATGTTTTAAAAAAAAAGTTGTAACGCATTTGTGAAACTCAATTTTAGTATTGTACAAGGTAAATTAGCCGATCAGCGAGAATTTCATGATAACGACCCACTAGGGTGTGCAGCGCTATAATAAATAAAAACATAGTTAGGGTAATATATGTCGATCATTATTTGCGGATTTTGCTATGGTAATTTCGAAATATTTCAGGTACATTTTTTAGCACTTTGACTTTATTAATATAACTAATATAAAAGTTAAATTAAATATATAAGCTTGGGCTACAATGTAATAGAGCGATTTTTTTAATAATAATATTTTATAATCCAAAAAATAGATTTGAAAAAAATATTATTTTTTAATATGACAATAAATGTAAATAAAATGTTAGTTTGCAACTTTTTAAAAAAAACGGCTCTATTGAGGGGTTTCAAAATTAAAAAAAAATAGCGTATTTCGGAAATAAATGGGAGTTTAAAAAATTTTATTTGTGTATCAAAATTTTGAAATCGGAAAATGAAATGGGAGTGTCTAGAGACCCCCATTTGACGAAATAAGTAAACTTTTCTTGTTTATGATCATTATGCAGATCAAAGAACTAATACGTAATAGCAATAGCAATACAGCGTAAATAATAAAACTTTCGCTCAATTACTTTATATAATTTACATAACTTATTGCTCCTTTGCTTACCTTCACTTAAATCTTTTTTATATAACTTATTGAATCTTCGCTTAAATTATTTATAACTTATTGAATCTCTTAAGTTATTTATAACTTATTAAACCTTCGCTTAAATTATTTATATAATTTATTAAATCTTCGCTTAAATTATTTAAGCTTACTGAACCTTCGCTTAAATTATTTATATAATTTATTAAATCTTCGCTTAAATTATTTAAGCTTACTGAACCTTCGCTTAAATTATTTATAGCTTACTGAACCTTCGCTTAAATAATTTTATAATTTATTGAATCTTGCTTATATTATTTTTTATATAACTTACTGAACCTTAAATTATTTTCAATAATTTATAAAACTCATTTAATATGGCTCCAAAGAGAATTTTTAAGCAAACTACCAAAGACCAAAAACTTGCAATGGTCATGTTTATTGAAAATCCTGCAAATCAAAACATTATTGATAGAAAAGCAGCAATGGGTGCTCCTATAAGTGGCAAGCCTATAACAAAAAATGCAGGATTTGCACAAATAGCCTTATTTGTAAATAAGCGCTGCAAAGACAGTAATTGGGATGCTAAAATTGTAAATGGCCGGTGGACAACTTACAAAAAAACATATATGGAAACTCGAAGATCAATTGAAAAGTCTGGATGGGATTAACTGAAAAAGATCATGAAAATGGTATTAATATCATAGAAGCAAAGCTTGAAGATTTATGTCCATACTATAGTAGAATTGATGCAATATATAGGCAAAAACAAAATGTTAAACCAACCTATCTTGAAAACTTTGGTTTAAATAATCAAAATTATAATGAGGATATATTAAGCGGTAAGTATAATTTTAAATTTTATAAAGTATTTAAATTATGATATTAATTATATAAATTTTAAAGAAGATGATGATAATATTAATAATATTCAAAATCTAACAAATAATTCATTTGATGATAATGATATGGATAAAGAAGACAAATTGGAAAATGGTAATAATTTATTATTATATACTATTATTATATAACAAGTTGTTTAATTAGTATTTATTATAAAAAAGAAGATAGACGAAATGAAAAAACATCACTATTATTTATCTTAGATGAATTTACCTTGGACAATGATAATAATATATCTATATTAAATCATAAATATAAATACTTATATATAAATTAATAAATAATATTTAAAGAAAGCGATAATAATAATCATAATAATAATTCAGATTATGAAACAGAAAATGATTTAACTGGTATGTATTTATTTATTTATATATTTAATTATTAAAAAGTATTTACTATTAATAAATAAATTAATATTTATTATAGATGAAGAATTAAATAGACTGAATTCTAATATAAATAAACAAAAATATAATTCAAATGATAATTCATCTAAGCGTCAACATTTAATAACATCAGACAAAAATAAAAATAAGAAACCAATTTTTGCAAAGAATATATACTTTAATGCAAAACAAAAAAGTCTTGAAATTGTGCAAGATTGAATAACAATTGAAAAAGATATAGCTGACATAAAGAAATATGAAGTTGAACAAAGTTATTAATCGAAGAAAAAAAACTTCAGTGGGAAAAAGACAAGACAGAAAAGGAAGAAGTAAAAGATAAAAAAATTCAACAATAATATTTTTTTAGAACTTATACATCAAAGAAAATCAATTACTGATATTAAAGAAATATTAACTTTTTTTAATAATTTATAATTTAATTAGTTATTATATAAGCGATATTTTATATAGTTAATATAATATATAATTTATAATTTAATTAATTATTATATAAGTGATATTTTATATATTTAATGTAATATACTGTATTAAGTAAATAATATAAAAATAATTATATAATAATATAATAATAGTAATATAAAAATAATATCGTTTAAACTATATATTTTTTGATGATTATATTTTATAATTATAAATTATTTTTTTGAAGAACTAGATTTTGTACATATTTACACATTTTTTTAGCTTCTTCATTCAAATTACTATCTAATACATTATCTACAGTTATTGAATCTGAACTAATTTCATTAATATTTTCTTCCCAAATATTACTATTTTTTAATGCTAAATTATAAAGAATAAATGTTGCTTTAATTATATCTAAAACAAATTTTAAATGTTTTTTAGATAATATTTGTGTTCTTATTCTATTTAAACACCCAAATCTTCCTTTCCAAATTTCATTAACATGTTCAATTCATACACGTTCTTTAGCAAGCATTTCATTAAAAACTGTATTTCTATAAATATTAGCTTGTGGTTGCTTATAAGGAATTATTGTTGTTAGAGTAAGCTGATAACCACAATTTGCTAATAAATATTCATATTTACTAAAAAATTTATCTGAATCTTGATAAAGTGGAGTAGATTTATAGGCAGTTAAATCTGTAACAGATCCTGGCCACCCAAAGTTTGCAAATCGAATAAATTTTAAATCATCACAAACTAATTATACAGTTAAAGTATATTGCTTTTTTCTATTATAGTAAATTTCACCATCTTCAAATGGCTTGTATTCAAGCACAATATCAGTTCCATCTAAAAATCCAATACAAGCTTTGAATCCTGATAATTGTTCTATTCTGCTACTAATTTGTTGTTGTTTAACAGAATTAGGCCATTATATATAAGTACTTCCAATTGAATTAATTGCTGCTACAATATGCTTTATATACTCAACTACAGTACCAATTTCTAAACCCCATTGTCTAGCAAATCATTCTACAGAAGCACCATTTCTATTACAACCTAATCATTCTAATGTTACTGCTAATTGTTGCCAAACTGGTCTTTGAGAATGTTTAGATTTCTTTAAAAAATCTGGATTATTGTGAATGAGGCTTTCTATGTGCCAGAATATCTCTTTACTAACTCTAGTAATTTGCTTAAAATTATAATCATTATAATTAAGTAAAAGAACTTGAAAAAAATCATTAGATTTAATTTTTCTTTCACGCAAAGTTAGATATCGATCCAATTCTATAGCTTGCATTAATTCTAATAATTCGTTAATTTCTTTATCCAGAGCATTAGTAATAAACTTATTCGTGCAAGTTGAATATTCATTTATAAGTGTTTTTAAAAGATTATTTATATTTTTAATTTGACGTTGCTGATATGAAATTTTAGGCATACCAAGTATAAAATATATTAGGAAGTAATAACGATATAGATATGATAATTAATCAAAAAATATATAAATAAGTATATTCAGATTTTGATTAGAAAATAAATAAGATTGATACATAGCTTATTTGATAATAAATATGTCATCTATTTTTATCAAAATTAAATTTCCGCATTTTAATTCTGAAACCCCTCATTATATTAAAGAAAATTTTTTTATTTATTTGTTAAAAAAAAAATTCTATAATTAATCTTGTTTTCTCAAAAAATATATCTTGAGGTTTCTTCAACTATTATGAAGATAATTAAATTCAAAATTAATATTTAACTCAGATATAATATTTAATTCAAACCAATAGTTATATGTTTTATTATATATGCATTAATAAGATATATTATAGTATCACTTAATTATTAATCAATTAAAAATTTTAAAATTTAATATATATTGTTAATTAAATAAAAATGCCTAGATACTCGAATAATTCCAAACATCATAAGCAACACCAACATCTTGCAAAAATTTGAAAAAGATCATCAATTTAAGAAGGTATTGATAATCCTAAAAATATATCATCAACTAAAACGTTCAAAGTATCCAATACTACTAATACAAGTGAATCGAATGATAATTAAATATTACTATAACTGATAAGTTTACATTGACAAATTTCAAATCAATGAATTTGGATGATTCTAATTTTAGAAAAAATTTGGAACATTAAAATTATATTGACAAACTAATGGAATATATATGTGAAATAGATAATAAATTATTATCTGTTATAGTAATGTTTACCACCAAACTTACTCGTGGATTAACTCAACAAAATTATGTTAAAAATAAGTTACTTATTATTGTTCTTGATTTAGATAACAAAGATTTAGAACCAGCATTAGCTTTACTTGGCTCAATACGTTATACTAAGGGTAAACAAATTAGACATATTTATTCTACTTATTTACAAAAAAAAGAAAAAGATTTTATTGAAAAAAATCTTTATCATTCCGAAATTGATTCAAATTTAATAAAAAAATCTATGCAATCACTTACACGTCAAGTAGAAGTTCTTAAAAATAAAAACCAATTACTATATAGCAAGATAAGTAAAACTAAACAAATTCAAAAATGATACAAGTCTAAGGCATATAGGATCTCTGTAATTAGTGATAAGCAATTTAAAATAGAAGTTAAAAAATGTATTTTGGCAACAAAATCAACCTATAATATTCAAACTATTCAAATGGCAACTCAATTATGCCAAATTGGTTATATGTCATATAAGTCTGCAACTGAATGTAGTAAAAAAGTAATTGAATGATTAATTGGCAAAAAGCCAAATAAGTGGTTTTCAGCATGCACTTTGGTTGGATGGCATAAGGATGTTGCAGCAATATATGCAAACCAAAAATGTTTAATTGCAAAAGAATCGAAGTTGTTTGCTTATGGAATTATGGCCAATGAATCAACATGAGGAGACCAAAAAATTTTTATTATTTGTTTTACATTTTGGGATATTACAATAAATAAACCAAATCTAGTTTTACTTGAATTAGAAAATCTTAAATGTTGTAATGGTCAATCTATTGCACAAACTACAGTTGATACTGTCTAACTGCATAGGATCCATGGACAAGTATTTTATGCATTTAAGCAGTATATGCAATTAGACATACTATTAAAACCTTGTGTAATATATAATTATCCAATAAAATTTATTTATTAAATCATATGACAAAAATTAACAAATTATTAATATAAAATGTTTCTAATCATAGTTTATTATTAAGTTAATCTATCTTATATTTCTAATTAAAGTTGTTGAGAAGATCTTTATGATTCTAATAGTGATTAAATTATTAAAATTGGTCTAGTAGTTCATGAGATATGATATAAAATCTTTGCAGATCTTCAAAGAGATTTTATACAATCAGGAAAAATCTTTTGATCATATCTTATGAACTACTTGGCCAATTTTGATGATTTAACTACAATTAGAATCATAAAGATCTTTTCTACAACTTTTATTAGAAATGTAAGATAGCTTAACTTAATAAAAAACTATGATCAGAAGCATTTTTATTATTTTTCTAAATGCATATTTAATTATTTTTTATGCATTATGCAAATAAAGAAATTATGCATTTATTATTAGAAACCAAGTTGGTGAACAGAAATTTTATGCAATTAGGCAGTATATACAATTAGACAGTATGCATTTAAATAATATCAACTGTATTTTAAATTCCTGTAAAAAAATATGATTTAGATCCAAAATCATATCTTACTTGGACTACAAATAACACTGCGTACATGTCTGAAAAATATAATAGAGCCATTAAATTATTTAACTATAATAATCAAGTATCTTCATTTTGTATATTTTGTGGTTTACACTCTGCACATAGTAGAAACTAGATTTTTAACACAAAAACATCTATTTAATTTTTTACATTTACTTTGGCAACTTTTTAATGAATACAATGAGAGCAAAAAATATAATCCAATAAATATAAAAAATAAATATATATTAGATCTTTACTATGAATTATTTAAAGTTCAATTTATTAAATTTCAAAAATCCCTCTGTACCCGATGGCTTTATGAACTTCAAACTGCTCATCAATTTATTAAAAGAAAAAAATCAATTAAATTATTTACAGATTGGTTTTTAAATAAATTATGTATAAAAAAAAATACACCTAAATCATATATTACTAAGTAGAGGCTTTTACAAAATTGGATTAATGATCCTTTTCTTCAAATTCAAATTGAATGTCTTATTAAATTTGGTAAAAAAATTTACGAACCAATTATGACCTTTCTTGTTACTTCAGATCCACAACCTCAAATATTATCTGACAATGGAGAACTTGAACAACTTCCAGCAGGTAGACGTGTATATGAAATGCCCGATGTAATTCTTCAATAGAATAAAATGTTACAAACAATTATTAATAATGTATATATATTTTTTGGCGATGAACTATTAAAAGCTATGAATATTTTAACTGATGATTATTTTAAAAATTTAGTTAATAATTTAATTAATGGGGCAGAAATCACTAAATTCATTTAATAATTGGATGATTAATTGGATACATTTACCACTTAGTATATGTTATTTAGAAAGTAACAATGGAAATGATTTTGCTTTAAGCTATATAAAAGTTGTTTTAAAAAACAATTGGATTCGAGTTCCATCATTAAAAGCACTTTGTTATTCAATGTTATTGCAAAAAGATATTGATAAAAACATCGAATTTAATGATTTTGGACTTTATAATGCTCTTAAAAATTTTGAATTTAGACAAGAATTTTTTTGTTTTGCAAAATCCTTAAAAGGACAAATATATAAATATCCTTTAATTTATGAATTTGTTAAATTTTGAATATGGTATATAGTCATTCATCAACAGCAAATCGAGGGGTTGTTTAATAAATATGATTTAAAGTGTCATGAACATGCATGATAATACAAAACTTGTTAAACGAAGTTTAGCAACAGATGATATTGATATGAATTCTGTAAATTTAACTACAGAAAAATTAACTATACAAAGAAAAATTCAACATCAACAAGAAATTATAAATAGCTCTATATCATTTAGTGAAAATAATGCAGATATATTATTTAATAAATTATTTGAAAAAAAATAAATTATAAAATTTATAATTTGGATTTAATGCTGATTTATTATTGAAAAAATAAATTATATAACATTAATATTTTAAATTTATTAACAAATAGATAAATACCAATAAATTTTTCGTAACCACAAAAAAATCCGTAAAACTTTAAAAAATCCGCAAATAATGATCGACATATATTACCCTAACTATGTTTTTATTTATTATAGCGCTGCACACCCTATGGCAACGTGCTTAATTTGTTACAAGTTAAGTATTACTTTTTGATGTGTTTACCTTTCCCATCTTCGACGTGTTCATCAAGAAAATAACACAGAAGTGATTAATAACGAACAAAATTTAAGTGAAAAGCGAGTTGAGGTATGTTTCTATAAATGATCAATTGTATGAAACATCTTTCTAACTTGTTTGTTTATGACCTCTTTAGGAAGAACATACAAGAAGGTATAGTCTTAGAGGACAAAAAGAAATTAATTATGCTGAAATTTCCGATTCAGATATTTCGGATCCATATCATGTAGTTATTCTTGTTACTTTTCCCGCAATAAAAAATCATACATTCTCATTATTTTCGAAATTCATCAAGTATCAAGCATACGAACGTGAATGGACAACCTGGAATGCAAATCCTCCAGTTATATCACCATACAGGCCAATTATAACGAAAGCAACATATTATCAGATTTCAACCCATATAATTTGCGCCTTCAACACAACAATACATCTTGTTAAGAAAACAACAGAAAGTACTTTATATGAAAAAATCGAAAAACTTCTCAAGATGAGAAACAAATTAATTTTAAAGAGGCCAATAACCGAAAAACTTTATGCAATTTTCCAGGCAGATTATTCGGAAATTATTTCAAAAATAATGACAGAGACAGAAACTGAAGATAGTGAAATGAGCGAAGAATCAAGATTTCTTTTTTCATAAGGCACACCTTACTAGACTTTGTTGCAATGTTCAAGTATCTGTCACCCAAGGTTCTGGTTTGGGATATGTCCGAAAGATCATATATTGTTGAATGTCTTTCACCCATACTCCGAGCCTTCAGAAATGCATTCCCCGACGTGAAGTACGAGTGGATCGAAAAGGATGTTACTGCTATTTTCATAATTCCTGGAACACCTGATAAAAATTGACCGAATGATTTTTCGGCCGTTCCGATTAAGTCA